TTGAATCTTGGTACCAATTGAGCAAGTTGCCCAATTGGTACCAGGATTCAACTTAAGTCTCCCATATGATGGAGGTCTTGGGTTCGAATCTTGGGGGACGCGTCAGAAAGTCGTAAGGTGGTAAGATGGGTTTAGGCTCTCTTAAAGCGGACAATATGTATGATATGATAACGGTTTCGGTGCGAGATCTGGTTGTTAGCTTTCTAACACGTCCCCCAAGTTTCGAACCCAAGACCTCCATCATATGAGATGCTTAAGTTGAATCCTAGTAGATGACCCTATGCTTTCTCAACGCAAACAGTACGTATGATATGATAACGGCTCCGGTGCGAGGTCGGGTCATTACAAGAATTGCTTTCCCTCTGATCAAGCATATTTAAACATTCCATGTCTTCTTTCCAAAGGTTTGATTCAATGGATTTAAGGCATTGCTCGTAAATTTCTTTTTCGAGCAACTGGATTGGACCTATAGTGTATACCCGATTGTATTTGGCTCGAATTGCTTCAAGAACTTCTTCTTCCAATTCATCATATGTATTGAAAAGGATGGCCATGGCCCTTGATGCATTTTCGTGCTGCAAGATGTTGTAATTCAGCATGATATCATTCGGATCAGTGGTTCGAATAAATGATGGAATGTCCTTAATTCGAATGCCTTTCATCCCCGGTATCCAATCAATCTCTCTCTCTAAATATCCATTTGTAAAGCAACTTTCATCTGTCCAAATCAAAGCTTATAAACATTTCAAATATTGATAAAAAAAACATGTTCATAAATAATTTAGACATTAATCATACCTTTAAGAGGGACATATCCTCTAGCAACAAGTTCACCATAGTGAAGGTACCCCATGAAGCCACAAGTACTTGTAGTGTAAAACACGACTTCATGAATATTGAGTTGTTCAACAGAATCCAAATTGAAACTCATGACCCCATCAGAGACTATGTAACTAACATTCGGTCAATCCGATGATTCATTAAGGTTCTTAATGAGTTCAAAAAAGGGGGCCAAACAATTTTTCGAAATCGATACACAAAGTGCAGGGATATCTTGTGTAGCATCACTGTTGGAAGGTGGCAGGCCATCTGGGGTGGTTTGGAACTGGAAATCTTCGAGGCCCTTAATTATGTCCGGGCCTCAGGCACGAACAAGGCGATCATGATAGAACTCTGTGTTGACGAAGGTGATGAAGAATCGTATGTAG